AAAAAAAAAAAAAAAAAAAAAAGAATTCCAGGAAAAGGATAAATTGACAAAGTTAACATATACATAACAAAAATATAGGTTAAATCAGGTTATTTTAAATAACATCTCTAGGTTGTGTAGAATGTTTAACATTGAGCTACAATATTTGCCAAATCAGCATTATGAAGAATTTCAAAGCATTTTATAAACGCTTCATCAATATAGTACCATATGGATGTAGTGAGGTTTTTTTTTTCTTTTTCTGAGAAGTATTTTTGCTATAGGGCGTATGCGCTCGCCAGAAAGACACAGACAGAGCAACGGAAAGTGAGAAATCACCCCCCGGGGGGGATGGCCATGCCACAATCCCTTCTCCTCCATTCTCCTCTCGGGATCTGGGGCACGCAAGCACACGCGCCTGGTGAGAGTTTAAGCCACCAGGTCCGGGATTTGAACCGCAGTTGAGTTTTACACTAGGAAACTGAGAGATTTTTCTCCTGATCAGAGGCATTAAATAATTAAGTGCTAGCAGGGCAACATAGTGGTTAAGGTGCTGGACTCCCAGGTGGCCAAGCAAAGTTCAAGTCCTGGACCCAGTGGTTTGAAACTCATATGAGACATGTATGTGCGCGCATGCCCAAAATTTCAAGAGAAGAATGGAGGAGAAGGGAATCCAACATGGCCAAACCACTTGGGAGGGGGAGGGTAATTTCTCAATTTCTCTGTCTCTCTGGTGAACATCCTCACCAAAACTCTCTCTCGCAAAACAAAAACAAAAACAAATGCCATTATCTCGATAACATAATAAAAGCATGCTCTGTATTAGAAAGACAGGAGAATAAGATAAAAATATAGAATTTATAACAACTCCTTTAAAAAAAATTCTTGTCAGGCCAGTTGGGCGACAGCGCGGACGGTTACGGGAGCGGAGTCCACATGGCCACGTGCATGATTCATGTCTTGGACCTGGCAGTTTGGAAAATACTCCAGGCACATGTACATATACTCCCCAAATCCCAAGGACAGAATGGAGAAGGGACTGTAGTGTGACCAGCCCCCAGGGGATCATTTCTCACCTTTCTCTGTCTCTCTCCAACAAGAACACACACCCTATAGGAAAAACTAAATCCGGTCATGCTTTATGATCAAATTATCAAAACGGTCTTTTCCTTTGACTCAGCTGTGGAAAAATCACTAATGTAACGTCCTTACATGCCTGTCTCAATGTTCTGAAATGCGCTAGTCATGTGACTACACTTTCAGCCCTGCGGAAGCAGAGGCTAATGACTGCAGAATACAAGATGCAGCCTGCTCAAGAAGCAAGATAAATTTCCTGTCGGCCTCAGGAGGGCGCTCCTGCCTTAGATGAAAGTGACACTACTGGCATTCTCTCAATAAAAGGAAAGCAAGGAAATGAAAAGTTAAAACAAAAAAAGGGCAGCGGGGTTCACAGGCACTGCAAGTTTTATAAAAGCTGACTCCTTTAGCGCATACGGAAGCAAGCCGTAACCCTCCATTAGGGCATGTGGAAGGTAATTTCTTACTAGCCTTAACTATAAATCCATACTAGTAATACATGTTTTAACTTTATTTTTAAAATTATAATCCCAAATTCTAAAAATTATTTTATTGAATTTTATTTATTTAATTTGACCAGAGAGGAACAGAGAGAGAGGGGAAGAGATAGAGAGGGAAATTGAGAAAGCAAGCCACCAGGTTCAGGACATGAACCACAGTTGGCCATGTGGGAGTCCAGCGTCCTTAACCACCACACCACCTGCCGGTCCCCTTTTAACTTTATTTAAAGTTAATGTCAGAGGCTAAAACAGTTGTCAAAATTGTGTACCTATTATACTCCCACCATAATTATGAGGCTACTTAAAACTGCAAACCCCCCTGGAATTTTCCTACCTTTTCTGTTAGACTTCAAAGCTACATGAGTCATATTGAAGCATTTCTTCCAAACTACTACTTTAAAATAAATTAAAACCACAAGTTAGATAACTAAAATGTTACCCTAAATATTGTCTGAAAAATCTGTCTTGGTAGAGAAGAAATAAACCGAAATATTTCTTGGGATAAATATATACATTTATACCTATTACAGCTAATGGCAGTACTATATGCTCTGAAGTAAGTAGATTACGCTTTAATAAATTCCCATTAAAACAAATGGGCCATCCAACTTTTCAAACTCCAATGCCATTTTTAAAAGAAAAAGACCAAAGAAACGATAATAACTAACAGAGGCTTTCCATTAATATATACAATGCATGGTGAACCTTACGTCAACCTGCAGGTCGATACTCATGTCCCCACTTGTAAATAATGTGACTGAGCTTCCGAAAGGGAAAGTGACTTGCCCAGACTCATTGAAGTCAGGAAATGATTAAGGTAGCAAGGCCATGACTGCAAACAAAATCTTCCAAAGTCCCAAACCTGCGAGCTCCTTCTTACTGCAACAGGCCCCTATGCCATCACGTCATCGTCCCTCCATCACCATCTGTCTCCCTTCTCTCCGCAACAGGTCCCACGGACTCAGCCTAATTCCCTCTCCTCTTGCTGTCGCTGTCCACACTCTGCCAAATGGTGTACACCTCTCCCACAGACCAAGTTCTCAGACTAAACTTCAGACCTCCAGCTCTCTGTTTGCCTGGGGTCCGTGGGACCATGGGCTAGCACAAAAGATTAGAAGTCAAAGCGAGCAGCTCTGTATTTGACTGCGCAGCTACTGGTTTCATGCATGATCATGTGCAATGCTCCCTACGTACACAATCCTTTAGAAATGTAGGATTCTGGCCAGCCTGTGGTGTGGTGCTGAAGGTGGCAGGGTCCCACATGGCTGACTGTTCAAATCCTAGGCCCAGCAGCTTGAGAAACGAGCCAAGCACTTCCTCAGTATCTTCCCCCATCCATGAACATGTGCACATTCAGGCAAACATTTTTTTCAAAAATGTTTAAGGGTTTTGTAAGACACTAACGGGACTATTTTTGTAATTCAAGTTTTACTGAACCATAGCCACACTCACTCACTTGTACATGGTCCATGGATTTTGTGCTACAAAGGCACAGTTGTAGCACCAAACACCTTACAGCTTTTAAAACCGGAAATGCTTACTATCTGGCCCTTTATGGAAAGTCAACCAGTGTGGGAAGCTGCACACCAGGTTTATGGTAAAAGAGATTAAGGCGGCAGTTGCCCAATACGGAGCTACTGCTCCATATACCTTAGCTATAGGTGAAGCCGTCACCAAGGGCTGGCTCACACCGTCTGATTGGCAACGCCAAGTCACTGAGGGTCTTATCTCAGACCAACTAGATTCCCTGACTGAGGTGGTTTTTCAAAATAGACGAGGTTTAGATCGCCTCCTGGCAGAACAGGGGGGGTCTCTGTCTTGTTTTACAGGAACGCTGCTACTGTTATGCCAGCAAGTCCAGCATGGCTCGTGACAAGATACATCAACTCCAAGAATCTCTCCAACAACGTTGCCAATGGTCTGCTGAAACGGTCTCCTCCCTTTCCTACTCCCCCTCTTTGGCCCATTCATTGGATTTTTAATTGTTTGCTCACTGGGACCTGTTATATTTAATAGGCGCATGCCATTCCTCAAACAACAAATTGACCCTTATACTGGTCTCGCCTGAGGCGCTGAATCGGTTAGCCAAAGACGGGTAAGAGAGTCTGATGAACCCAATAACTGTTCAGTCCTTCCACCTAAGACAGGAAGCCCATCATAGCTATGGGACTCTCCAATGACGGGTAAGAATGGACTTATGGTTCCATAAACGACTCCAACCTAAGACAGGCACGATTCCCCCAGGCCTTTTCCTCATCTCTCAAATTAAAACAGAGAGGGGGGATATGTGGGAAGCTGCACACCAGCGAG